CAAACTTTGCATGCAACAATCAGGCAGCAATTGACAGCACTCTGATCTAGTGGCATACAGGCATCGTCAGATTGACAGTACTCTAGCCCAATAATGTTGGGGGATCCAGTGGGGGCGGCAGTCATATTTCAGGGTGACCGTACCACTCTTTATCACAACCCTGCTAAAAGTGCCAGTACATGCGCCCCTTCAGCTGGTGGCGCCCTAGGTAACCGCCTAGCTCGCCTATGCCTAGAAACGGCCCTGATTGTAATGCATTACTTTTAAAAGTAACTTTCCCCAACAATGGTCTCCATGTTTGTGATATCGTCCTGTAGAAATAAAGACGAATTATTTTAGTCATCAAAATTGTGAACAGCTTTAAAGGAAGAAACCAAAATGTGCTGACATGCTCATTTTGGTATTTGATGAAATATGGTCTGGACACCAAACAAGAAGTGAACATTGTGTGTCCACATCTGGAGGTTACACAACTGTTTAGGGTAAATGAATCATCCAAATCCTCTACTTAATGGAACTGAATTGCATCACTTCCTCATAAAATTATATTTGTCTTGGACTAAACTAAACACGTCTTTGTCATTTACACATTGCAACCTAAAACCTCAACAACAAAACATCACATAATAGGGTAAAAGTTATAAATTAATTAGAAAAACTGGACTTTTAATTTCGAATTTCCACTAAAGTAAAAAGTTCCTCTCAGTCAATATCTGCAAATCCGTGTATCATTCGTTTTTTGATTTAATATTGAAAGTAGAAAAATTAGAAAACTGATCCTTTTTCGTTTTTTTCCAAAAAACGAAAAACGAGAATTCAGCTTAAATTTTCGTTTTTCGTTCATGGGTGGAAAAATTAATAAACAGCTTGAATTTTCGATTTCTACATGTGGGCGGGAATTAAACGCCCCTTTCTGCTGATTGGTCAGCCGAAGATCAAACCGTGCCATCATCAGTTCTTCCACAGTATCACGCAGCAGAATAATAGTCCTCTGCTGCTGCAGTTGTATGGATTCTTAACACATTTATTGCAACTACATTTAATCTTTTTTCATCAAACAAACAGGCTAATGAATAGTTCGACACAACTCGTACCGGGGAAGAGTCTAGACAGGACTTTCTTCTGTGGAATTCTATTCTTTGCATCAGCTGGGCATGGCAGGGTATGATATGACAGCTGTCATAGCCTACCCTGCTCAACCAGTAAGTCTGTTTGTTTAATTAAGAAATTAATTAATTTGTTTCAAAATAAATATTTTAAACACTAAGAAAGAAAGGAAAGAATAATAAATTGGCTTGGGTATATATAGGCCTATGTTGCAAGAACTGTCATTTTGACTGACAACCAGAGAACAACAGATATTAAATAGCCTACTGTTAGAGTTATATAATGTAATCTTGTGTTTTATTAAAATTGATTATAATTGATATCTCAAAAGGATATGCACACGTGAGCTGCAACGCAAGATTTTCATAAAATATAATAACTTGCCATTTCCATTTGTTTCTCACCAAACC